ATCTCATATTTGCATACCATGGTGGCAAACCTAACGCAGCGTCATTTGACATGGAAAAAACCAGAATTTTCGAAAAAGTGACACCAACTATTAAAGTTATTTTATTACTAGATTTATTTACAAATTATAAGATAATATCATTAACCGAATATATTTTAAAAAAAAAAAAAAAAAAAAAAAAAAAAAAAAAAAAAAAAAAGGTATTGGGGCTTCCAGGCACTTCGTGCCCTCTAGCCCCTAAGAAACTAGAGGAGGAATGAGACAAAGACCAGATGAAAAAAATAAAATATTATAATAAAATTAAATTTTTAGTCTTAAATTGTTTTTTTATTCGGTATATTCTGAATCTTGAATGTCTTGGAAATTTTCTTCTTCTTCGCTCTCTGAGGTGAGGATTTCTTCGACTTCTTCTTCTTCGCCATTGGGATCAACAAATCCTGCAATGAAAACTTTGTATATACCTTCTTGAGGAGTCTCTATGATGAAAGTCGTATTGTTGAGGAAATGGAACTCGACATCTTGAACAAATTGGCAACTGCTGTGTGTGAATTTTGCAATTGTGAGAGGCTTTCCTTTATAGCCCTTGGGAAAGCTTGAGATAGTTACTGTTCCTCCATATGGAACTCTGGCAGGAATATCTAAAGCAACAGTTGTTATAACGTGGAAATTGTCTACGAATTGAGGCATAGGTTCAATGCAGTATAGTCGTTTTGACTGGTTGTCTTTTGTGTAGAAATATAAATAGAATGACCTTTCACCATGTTCATTCAATTCTTCCAAATAATTGTATGAATTTGGATATAAACGGACAAATTCAGCAACTTTAACTTCTTGTAAATGCTTCTGCAAGTTCTTTGGAAACAAGTGAATGAACTGGTCAATAGCTTGCAACGCTATGAGATTGGCAGTAACGGGTAAATATGAAGCAAACATGTCAACAAGTACGCCAGGGTCTTTGATTTCGTTTTCAAGAGGCTGAATGGCATCCATGACAGCTTGAAACATCTCGTTATAATCTCGATTGTCTTCTGAACCCCACTGTTCATTTAACTTATCTAACAATTCTAACCTTTGCTTTGCGTATTTTCTACGAACTTTCTCTGAAAGAGGAGTGTCGCTATCTTGTGTGTCTTGAATTTGAGACTTAAATTGTTTGCAAAAGGCGAGATATCGTGTTTGCGACCTAGTGGTCATTGCAGAATGTGTTTCTGTATGTTCGATTGGATGTGTTTCTGTATTTTCGGGTGGTTGTGTTTCTGTATGTTCGATTGGAGTCTGATTGGTATGAACTTCTTCTGAAAATGCTTCTGTTCCGATAGTTGTTGTTGCTTGACCTGTTGGCTGAGCTGTATCTGTTGTGTTTTGAGAAGAAGAACTCAAATTGTTGGACAATTTGTTTGCAATTGTATGAGGAAGTTGCTTTGGTATTATAGGAGGTCGTAAGGGTTTTGAGAATGGTGAGACATAAGTTGTAGGAACTTTAACTGCAGAGGTAGTCGACGAATTGTTTGCAATTGTATGAGGAAGTTGCTTTGGTATTATAGGAGGTTGTAAGGGTTTTGAGAATGGTGAGACATAAGTTGTAGGAACTTTAACTGCAGAGGTAGTCGACGAATTGTTTGCAATTGTATGAGGAAGTTGCTTTGGTATTATAGGAGGTTGTAAGGGTTTTGAGAATGGTGAGACATAAGTTGTAGGAACTTTAACTGCAGAGGTAGTCGACGAATTGTTTGCGACACTTTTTCTTCCTTCCATTAGACAAAAATAAACTGTTTTTTTCGGACTACTCATAGAAAAGTTTAAAATAAACCGTTTTCGTCAACGGAGACCCCCTCTATTTTTTTATTTTATTTAATAGTTACCGTTGGAAAACCGTTCCATCTCAAATATTGAATGAACTATAAACGTTTTTTGTTTTCTATATATACTTTTTTGTCCAACGGTAAAACTTTTTACACAACGGTTTTTGAGAGTCGTCGCTGTTGACCGAGTAGTTTTTTGTGCTGAACAAAAAGTGTCATATAAACATCTGTCAAAAACCGCTTTTTAACTTCACTTAAAATGCCACGTAAGCTACGTAAGAATATACGTAAGAGGAAGAGAGCATTGAAACATCCAATAGTAAAACTGACACCACAACAACAGTTGCAACAACAAATGCTGAATGACCCCACTATGTTGCAACAAATGTCAAGCAACCCTATGCTTTTAAACCGAGTTATTGGTGCACAGAGTGGAGGTTTAAGAGCGGCACTTTTAGCGAAAATGGCAGGCTATGGTGGAGCTGCAGACGGAACAGCTTATAACCCTCAAAGTCAAATGAATTTGAGTTCACTCAAAAATCAAATAACAGATGTCAAAAAGTCAAACATAGACATACAGAAACAAATAAGTGAAAACGAAAAGAAACTAGAATATGACAGACACACAAAGAAACTCAATGAGTTAAACGTAGAGAAAAAGAAGAAAGAAGAACAACTGAAAGAACTAAGTACAGAGGAATATGCGAAAAAAGTGTCAGAAAAAGCAGCAGAAGTAGCAAAAATGGAACAAGATGTCATAAATTTGAAAAACCATACTACTCAATATAAAGTACTGAAAGATGAAGAAATAAAACAAAAAGCCCTGAAGACATATATGGATAGCGATGAGTATAAAAAAGAAGTTGAAGCAAATGTAAAGGCAGAAAAACTTTTACAGTTGCAAAACCAAACCGTACAGTATGAAAACTTAGCACAAGAAAGTAAAAATAACGACGCGGCTATGCAAAAGGCAATGAAAAGCGCAGAATATATAAAAGCAACAATGACTGGTTAGATGCCCAAGCCAACGCTAAAGCAGCCCAACTCATAGGGTCAATAAGGACAAAAATACAAGCGGATGAAGACAGTTCAAATGAAGCTTTAACAAATGCTGACTTTAAGAACGCCTTCGAAGCTCTTCATAGTAAGGTGAAACAAGTGAACGACTTCTCATCTGGAAAGAAACTGAAGTCTGAAGGTTTCGACAAAGAGTTAAAAGAAGTAGCACAAAATATGACGAAAATAACAGATGCAGCAACGAGACAGGCAGTTCAAAGTGCCTATGACGCCGTTAGAGCAACTGTTGTGAAAAGTCAAGAAAAAGAGTTACAACAGACCAAAACAGACCTAGTAAATGCTTTCTTAAAAACGAAAAGTCAGGTAGGACATTACGCTGCAGATGGAACATATGTGCCAGCTGGTGGAACTTATATACCACCAAACCCTCCAAGAGAAGCACCTGCACCAGGACTACCTAAACATTTACATCGTCACATGGACACAGACACAGGCATGCACCAAAACCACACAACAACCACCTCACAACAACCAGCACAACAACCAACACAACAACCAGCACAGCAACCAACAGTTCAAACCCTGCACAACAACAACCACAAACAGAGCAAGGACATAAAAGAAGTAGAGAACAAGGAAACCAAGAATTCTTAAAAATGCTTAAAGAAGAGTGTGGTTTCCCAGATACTATTGACTTTAGTGACAGATATAAAGAAGCTATTGGAAAGTTCAAGGATGGAAATACTGACCCGAACCTATTTAGCTTTATGCTCAGCACCAAACGGATATAATTCAAACCTGGAAAATACAAGCTCGCTAAGGGATATGATTTAATAGCATATCATCCAAATGACAATGAATTTACTCCGAGATATTTGATGTCAGAGCTAAATGACAACAACTTTCGTCATGAAACGCGTAAAAAATAGAGACGGAACGAAAGAACAAAAGCTTATGAATGCGGATGACGTAGATAGGGAAATTGTTGAAAACGGTCTCGGAATATATGAAATGCCAGCAGATGAGGTACAAGAAACTCCACAGGAAGAAGTTCAGATACAACCAGACATGGAAGAAATAGTTCAGCAACAACAGCTAGAAGAGCCTGAAGGAAACGAACAAGTCACTCCTTTGGAAACTAACTTCACAGAACTAGATGAAGATTTGGAACAGCCGAAAAATCTTGACCCTCAACAAGAGTATGCGGAGAATATGGAATATTTCCAAGAGTCTAAAAAAATTCGGCTGACATAGTAGAAGAATATCGAAAAATGTTTGCCGACATACAAAAGACTCCAACACCAGATGAAAATATTCAGCATAGAATGGAAGTACTGAAAAAAAATGTACACAAATACAACAACCCTTTTTACTTACGAGCATTTAACGTTCAATCTTCGGATGAACTCGGTGAAGATAAAAGGTTAAATTTCAAGAAAACATATAGAAATGAAACATTGTTTAAAGTTCATTCAGAACCTAGCCAATATGGAAACAAACCTACTTTTGTTTCTGCAGACGATGGAACTACAATGAGATGGGGTCATAAAGCTAATCGGATAGGTGGTTCATAAACTTACAACCACAATTCCAAGAAGTTGTAGACGCAATGGAAGCAATGGTGAACAGATATAGCTGGTATTTTCAGCGCGGCTTTAATGCCATTGAAAGATATGAAAATGCAGATATTTTGGACCAGTATGAAATGAACATGGCTGATGGAAATATAACACCTGACGTTCTAGAACATTTATCTCAAAGAACTACACAGAACCATAGAGATGGTATATTTGGTGAAGAGTTTAGAAAGAAAGTTAGGGAGAGAGAAGGAAGAGAACCTATTGTACATGACCTTGCAAACGAAAGTTTACAAAATGTCATAAAAACTTACTTTGCAGACAATGAACGAGAAGGGATGAATATTTAAGAAAACTCAAATGGACAGTACCAAATGAAATGTTAGTATTGAAAAACATGTTCCTTGACAAAATAAAACCAACTACAGAAATAAATGACGCAAGACTGAAAGATTGGGTAAAAGCTTTCCCATTCACAAAAGATATTGTTGGTAACATGGAAAGAAAACCAGAATGGCTACAAAAACATATATTTGGAAACGAGCTTATTCCATATGGACAGGCACTGTTTGAAGAGCTTGAACCTGAAACTCAGGAAAGAGTCATGCAAACAATACGCGAAGACTCAAATACAGACTATGACAAACTCTTTCTAGGATATAGGTTACCTGAGATGGGCGACCAGAGCCAAAAGGCAAAAAGGACATGGGAAATTTGCAACATACTAGATGAACATAATGCAAAGATGCAACAACTTCAAGCAGAGGGCAATGAAGGAAAAAGAAGAGTTAAAAACTCAGTCAGGAAGAAAGTAAAGCTTGGTCGGAGTGGGTTCTATTATGACATATAAATCCAACTATTCTATATTTTTACTCATATGAAATGTACGCCGCTCAGAATATAACGCCAACAGTTTTGGATGCATGAACGGAAATGTTTCCGAATGGTATAACGAATGCGACAATGCCATTAGAAGGTCAGAAATAGTTCCTGGAACTTACGAATATACAACTGCTGTTTCTTATGGAAACGTAGGTGAGTTTGGAGAAGGTTCTTCAACAACAGTAGATATTGCTTGCGACAGGTTTCATATAATTTCTATTGACAACTCTTTCTTATACGTGGAACAAGACATTGAAATAAAACCTTCTGCCAAGTTGTCTGACAAGAAAGGTTGCAATGGAATTTTCTATGTCGGATACCAATATGCTCCAGAAGTTTTCATGGGATATAAGATATATTCTAACTCTGACTTAGTTCAAACAGTAACATGGGCAAACTATGAATGGTTCGCTTTGAGAAACTCAGTACAACCACAAGCTAGAGAACAAACAGACCAGTATGCAACTATTGAGAAAATAAGAAGACTTGACCCTAACGTTCCAGGAGTTTATGTTAACCTTTCTGGACAAACTGCAGCAGCAGTAACCAAAGTAAAACTGAAACTTAGAGTTCCTTTGTCATCTTTCCTCATCTTCAGGTTTTTAAGATACTTGCCAAACTGGGCAGGAAAAATTTCTATCGAACTTACTCCAAGCAAAAATAACTTAGTCATTGCACCAACACAAGACCCATTCAGCATTGCTGTAGCTGGAACTGGTGGAGCCAATTCTGTTGACTTTTGCAAAAACAAAGTTGACTTAGACTTTGGTTTCTCAAACTCAACACTGAAGTAAACTACTATTTCAATGCTGCTGGAACTGCTTGGGACCCAGTTAAGTTCACATGCGAAAATTTGAATGCAAGAGAATAGAAAGCAGACTTGCAGTCTATATGTTGGACCCAGATATTTCAAATGCTTTAGCTGCCAAATATATTGCAGTTCCACTTATGTTCCCTATACACCAAATATCTGTCAAAGACTTTGCAGGTGAAGTTGGAAACCAAAGTGCTGACCCAGGTGCAAGAACAGATATTGCTTTAACAACTGCAATGAAACATGCAGATACTATGTTTGTACTGTTCAGACGAACTATAAATGACTATTCTTGTTTCTACAACCCTGGTATTAAATATCATATAAACATAGATGGCAAATATTATCCAAGAGAAGAATATTCTACAGTTGAGGATATGAGGTCATACAACTTGACATTAGATGCTATGAACTTTAACAACAACTTCACAACAACCATTAACCCTGAAATGCAAAGTTCTATTATGCCATATGTGAAAGTATGGACTCATACAGGAGGTCAAAAAACTCAATATACAAATGGAGACCGTTCAAACTTTTGGCTTGGCATTCCATTTGCTGACTCAGAAGACTTTATGGGTGGTATTTCAACTGTTGGTACAGTTCAAATACAATATACTGGTGACAGAGACGGTCCAGATGAATTGAAGCAAAGAAGTTTACAAAACCAATAGCACTTTTCACGGAAGATGCTCTTTTGAAGATTCGTTCGATGAAACCTGCTGGGGCTCCTCAGATTGGCATAACGACAGCTTCCATCGAGCAGATTTTGGCAGCAGGTCAGTAAGTTGTTCTTGAACTGACTTCTCTCCGTCAAATATTGACAGTACGCCAGTTTTGATATAAATTGTATTATAAACTTACCTTTAGAAATATCGGTCAGTTTTGTTGTTATATTTTTGTCTGCTTCAAGAACTTTCACCATTTCAGTTATACCAACTTTCTTTGCTTTATGAAAATATTTTGGTTCAGCAAAAGACTGCTATTCTATAACATTTTCCATTGTTTGTATAAAGAACTATTCTGTCAATGTACTTGTATTGTTTGTGTGTGTAAACTTTGTTCTGCTTCAATTCGAAGAGATACTCAAATACGTCCATCTTTTTATTCTAAGTAAAATGTCATTTCCGAAAAATAGAAGCGTAAGTGTTTCAAAAGGTTTAATGGCGGTGGCAGATGTGAAGTTAAATTCACCAACTCAAACAAACAGTCAAAGTGTTGTTGTCAATGTCAAAGAAAGAGATGTTGAAGTGGGGAAACCATACGAAGACGAAGATGGTATAACAATAGTTCCTGTAAAAGAACAACCAACATACCCTGAAGTTAGCAGAGACTTAAGTTCTGTTGCAGATATTCGAAACGACTACCAACAACTGAAAGACAAACTTAAAACTCAGGAGAAGATTTGTCAAGCTTTAGGTATAATGTTAAACTTGGTCGAACACAACCCTGTAAAAGTGAACTCATATGTCATTGCACCTCATGAAATTTTGAAAGAACTATTGAAACTTTTGACAGAGGCAGACGATATAAACATCAAAGAAATAGAACCCGACATTGCTTGCTGTGGTGTTTCATATAATGTCATTGACAAGATATACGTTATGAAGGAGGTGAAACGTTGAACTTAAAATATAGTTTCCCAGACGTCATAAAAATATTTGACGACCACAACATTTCATTAAAATTTATTTGCTAAGTAAATGGCAGAAGACATAATGGTTTATACTATTACGACTAAAACCCTGAGTCATATAATTCTATAACAACAAACTTACAAAGTCCTCAAGGACGATATTGTAAACTAACCTTAAACACGATGACGACTAAAGCCTGTTTTTGCTCTTTTGACACCAGAAGATTTTTGTTGTTGTGAATGGTAAAAAATACTCTTTGAAGATACTTACTCAGATATACCACCAACAGGTTTTGTTGACTTATTTAATACTTTAAGGACGGATGTAACATGTGCTGCAACTAGAGCAGGTTTCATTATGTTTGGATGTCCGACTGAGTTTACTATAAACGATATGAGCTATAATACAAAACTTATATCTGGTTTTTACTACCAACAGTTTCCTATAACAGGAAAAGGTGTCATACAAGGTTTGTCTATTCCATTGACTTTAAGCACACCTATTTTATATATTGTTTCAAACTTAGGTTCAAAGTGCTATTCGAATGTGGACAGAAACTACTATGACCAAAAGATACTCATGCGTATAACAACACTTTCTCTGCTGGTTTGCCTATTGTTCATTCGAATGCAGAATTTTCAGCTTTAGTAAACTCAAACACTTTAGCAAACATAAACTTAACCTTAGTTGACGCAAACTTTGTTCCTGTAAAACTTTTATGTCCTATGTATTTGTCAATGACGGCAGAAAGTTTCGAATTGGAAGATGCAACTGGTGAAAGTATTGTATTACAAGAACAACTTCAACAACAAAATAGCTCAAGAACAACAAATGCAACAAATGCAACAAATGGAACAACAAAGTCAAGAATAAAAAAATATATTTTTTTTATTTTTATAAAAATGTACAGAATAGATGTTTCAGATTTTTATGACTTCCAAGCTTCAGAAATATGTGTCCATTTAGAGACTATAACAAAGCAGTCGAGAATTTGAAACGTTTAGTCATTTATGTTGACTCTGCCCCAGAATGTTATGTATGAAAGAATGGATGTTGTCTTTAACAAAAACCAAGAGCAACAATAGTTTCAGAACAAGAATGTAGACAGAAACTTAAGAAAATAAAAGTCGTACAAGTTGGTATGAAGATGTTAGATGCTTGGGATATCTTATTGTCAAAGTTAGAAGATTTTTCAGTTCGTGGTATAAAGTTCTATACACCATCTCCAAACTTCTATTCTATCTTCACTGGATATAAATATGAACAAGTAGAATGGAAAGAAAATGTTATAGAAGCTTGGTTAGACCATGTCAAAGAAATTATATGCAATGGAAACGAAAGAGTTCTATGAGTATATCTTATGTTGGTTTGCAAACATCTTACAACATCCAAGTGCTAAAAATGAAACTGCTCTCATTATAATTGGAAAACAAGGAAACAGGTAAGAACACTTTCTTTACAGATATTTTGATGCAAACTGTTAGAGGGCTATTCGAACCCGAATATGACAAACTTAGAAACATCTGCGGTAAATTTAACTCTTCAATAGAGAATATGAAACTTATAGTTATGTAACGAACTTCAAAGTATAGATACAACAAAAGTTTTAACTCAGATGCTTTGAAGAGTCTTATAACAGACAAAGTTGGAGTTGTTGAAAGAAAAGTATAAAGACCAAAGAGTTTGTGAAAATGTTGCAAACTTCATTATGGTTTCAAACAATGCGTTCCGATGAAGTTAGAAAGTTCTGACAGAAGATATGTAGTTGTCAGAACGTCAGATTCTCATATGCAAGATACAGAATATTTTGACGACTTTAGCAGAAACTTTGACATCTGACTTTTACAACCACTTGTTCTCATATTTCATGACATTAGATATTTCAAAGTTCAATCCAAGACAAATTCCATATACCGAAGAGAGACAAACATTGTTAGAAGCAAACAAGAGTGTATATGAACTGTTCATAGATGAGACTAACTTTGAGTGTTTAGATGAAAGGTCATTGTACGATTCATATAAACAATATTGTCAAGAGTATGGTTATATGGCAGCGTCTAAACGAACATTCTTGGCAAATGTCAAAAATCTTTTAGACATACAGAACGGCGTATATACAAAGAAAATTTTTTATGAGTAAATTTAAAAAAATATTTTTTTATCCGATAGAAAAGATGAAAATTCATCTCAGTAAACAAGTACATGACAGAGTCAAAGAAAGAACCCATTCGCTTATTTGAATGTTTACTTCTACCATTTTGAAAAGTCTTACATTTGACAAAGTTTGGAACATCGAACCAGTTAAGTTTGCTATTGTGACTAAAAATGGTGCGAAATTTGAAGACTTAGACATAGAAGGTTTGTTAACAGTCAAAGAAAATTTTGACAGAAGGTTTTCAAAACCTTAAAGAAGGCAAAGCATACAAACTTGTTATACCTTATGAACCAAAGAAGCAGACGACTATGAATATTATGAGTCTAAGATAGTTGAAGTTCAAGGTAAATTGGGTAAAAAGA